AGTCTCCTGATTGCTGGGACTGCAGGTGTGTGCCACTGCATCCAGCTAAATAAACCAGTTTTAAAATGGGTTTAAATGATCCAAACAGCAGATGTTTCTCTAAGGTAGATACTAAAATGGTCAATTAGCAGATAAAAAGGTGTTCAACACTGCTGGTCATGAGAGTAATGGCAAATCCAAACTACACCACTAAGATGGTTAAAACTTTAAAAGACAAGTAATAACAAATACTTGGAAAATGTGGAAAAATTGAAATCTTCATACTTTGCTCGTGGGATAACAAAATGTCACAGCCTCTCTAGAAAGCAATTTGGCAGTTTCTCAAAATGCAAAAGATAAAATTACCAAGTGACTCGGCAATTCCATACATATATATATAAAACACACTCATACACATGTACCCAAACGTTCATAGCAACATTATTCACAGTAGCAAAAAGTAGAACCAACCAAAATATCTATTGACTGATGAATTGATAAATAAAACATAATACATCTATGCAATGAAATATTAATCTATAAAAAGAAGGAATAATGTATCAATACATGCTGCAATATAATAACTCTTAAAAGCAGTTTATCATGTGAAAGAAGCATTCACAAAGGCCACATACTATATTTACGTAAAATAACCATTGGTATAGTGTCCAGAAATGTCTAGAATAGAAAAATATATAAAGACAGAAAATTACCCATGGTTGAAGTAGGAAGCAGGGAGATACAGAAGATATGAAGATGAAATTTATTTGAAGGGAAACAAAAATATTCTAAAATTAGACAATGGTGATGGTTGTATGAAACTGTCACTATTTCAAAAAAATTGAATCCTATGCTTTACAAGAATTAACTGTGTGGTATGTGAATTATATCACAATAAGCTGTTAGAAAATTACAGGTTATGGATAGAAAGAGTCAGTATTGTTAACATGTCAGCTCTTTCCAAGTCGATCTATAGATTCAATGTAACACAATCAAAATACCATTATTTTGTGGTTATTGACAGACTGATTCTGAGGTTTATATGGAAAGTCTAAAAACCCAGAACTGAAGGAAAGGAACAAAGTCAGAGACTAAAACTATGCAACTTCAATCCTTACTATAAACTTATAGTAATCAAGGCAGTGTGGATTTGGTGAAAGGATAAATTGACTAGTTTTTTGTACTTTAGAATTTCGGGACCAAATAAAAGTTTTCAGGGAAAAAAAAAGTAGACTAACAGAACAGAATGAAGAACTCAGAAATGGATCCATATAAGTAAAGCCCATTCAAAGGAGAAAAAATTTCAAAATAAAAAATGATATTTTCTCAACAAATTGTTCTGGAACAAGTGGACATCCACATGTAAAGGAATTTAGACACACATCTTACATCTTTCACAAAAATTAACTTAAAATGGATCATAGACCCAAATATAAGTACAAATCTAAAACTAAAGACAACATAGGAGAAAAGCCTAGGTCATGAGTTTGATGATTACCTTTTATTATTTATTTTTGGGTTTTTTATTTTTTATTTTTTATTTTTTTTGAGACAGGGTCTCACTATGTAGTTGAGACTGACCTGGAACTCACTATGTAGCCCAGGCTGGTCTCGAACTCACAGCGATCCTTCTGCCTCAGCCTCCTGAGTGCTGGGATTACAGGCATGCACCACCACGCCCGGCTTGATTACCTTTTAGATATGACACCTAAAGTATGATATATAAAGAAGGAAAAAAAGATAAATTGGAGTTCATCAAAACTAAAATCTTCTACTCTGCCAAAGATACTGTTAAGAAATTGGAAAGATAAGCCATAGGTTAGGAATAAATATTTTCAAAACATACAAATGATAAAGGATTTGTATACAAAAATACACAAAGAATATTTGAAATAACAATAAGAAAACTCCCCAGTCAAGAATAGACAATCTGAACAGATACAAGCCCAGGCTGCTCGAACTCACAGCGATCCTTCTGCCTCAGCCTCCTGAGTGCTGGGATTACAGGCATGCACCACCACGCCCGGCTTGATTACCTTTTAGATATGACACCTAAAGTATGATATATAAAGAAGGAAAAAAAGATAAATTGGAGTTCATCAAAACTAAAATCTTCTACTCTGCCAAAGATACTGTTAAGAAATTGGAAAGATAAGCCATAGGTTAGGAATAAATATTTTCAAAACATACAAATGATAAAGGATTTGTATACAAAAATACACAAAGAATATTTGAAATAACAATAAGAAAACTCCCCAGTCAAGAATAGACAATCTGAACAGATACACACCTCACCAAAAACATGTACAAATGGCAAATTACCATAGGAAAATATGCTCAATATAGCATTTTGTTGAGTAATTGCAAATGAAAAGAAGGCAATACACCACACACCTCTTGAAACAGCAAAAAACCCAAAGCACTGGCAACTTCCAAAGTTGGCAAGGATGTGGAGTAACAGCAACTTGCATTCACTACTACCGAGAATGCAAAATGATACAACCACTTTGGAAGACAGTTTGGCAGATTCTTGCAAAACTAAACACACTCTTACCGTGTGACTCGGCAATGGCACTCCTTGGTATTTACCCAAATGAGCTGAAAATTTACGTCCACAAAAAAAATTTTCACATGAATTTTATAACATCCTTATTCACAACTGCCAAAACCTGGAGACAACCAAGACATTTAAATAGCTAAATAAATACACAAGCCACGGTATGCACATATAATAGAATATTATCCAGGGCAAAAAGAAATGAACTAATAAGTGATAAGAAGACATGTAGGACCTTAAATACTTGTCGCTCTGTGAAAGAATCTGGTCAGAAAGTCTCTGTGCTGTATGACTCCAATTACACAGTATTTGTAAAGAGCAAAACAATGAAAAGATCCATGGATGTTAAGGCTTTGGGAAGAGGCAGGGATGAATGGTACAGTGGATTTGAGGGGCAGTTAAACTATCGGTATGCTGGCTATATGCCATTATGCATTCATGAAGACACAGAAGGCACAACACAAAGAGTGAACCCTGATGTAAACTACGGACTTTGTAATAATGTACAAATATTGGCTCATCGTCTGTAGCAAATGCGTGACACTCTACAAGATGTTAATAATAGGGAAACTGGGATGGCAAAAGAATATATGGGAGCTCTTGCACTTTCCATGCAATTTTTCTTTAAACATAAAACTGTTTTAAAAATAAATTCAATGTTCTAAAAAATGCCTCCAGATACTTCTGTGCATTCCTGTTGCATATCACCAACTCAAGCACACAAAGGTTCTTATTTCTCCAGAGCTGGTATTCTTGTCACTTTCCACAATGAAAACAAATTATTTTAAAATCAGCATGTGACATTTGAGGTATCCAAAAGAAAACACGTAGTCTATATATGCGTTATATAGCATGATAGCAAAGTACATACCTATTGAAAAACAAGACTATTCCAGCAATGTCACATCTACCTGTATGTCCCTCCCACATCGTCCTCCCCTCAGAGGGGATAAATACTTTTCTAAATGCTGTTTGTCACTCTCCCGCTTCTTGTGAGTCAGCTTGGGGTTAGGAGGACAGCCTTGGAGGCTCACTGGTCATTTCCATTGCAGGAGGCAGCTTCTAAAATGGCCCTCAGCGATCCCGTCCATCTGGTATTCACGCCAGGCAAATACCTTATTTTGAGTGTGGACTGGACCTAGGATTTTCTTATTAAGAAGACAATATGGCAACCATAATGGGAGTCACTTCCAAGAGTGGGTCACAGAAGAATGCTAGCCACTATCTTTCCCACTCTTTTTTATTTCTTGCTCACACAGGTGGAACCAACAGCTATATTGTGACTTGTACTATGGCAAGGTCCACACAGCGAGAAACCGAAAGAGACCCTCAGTCCAACAACCGTAAGGAACTCAATCCTGCCCGTGGCCATGCAAGCGAGCTTGGAAATGGATCCTCCTTCAACCAGCTCTTGAGATGTCTGCAGCTGAAGCAGACACCATGATTATAACCATATGAGGAACCTTGAGTCAGAGGACTCAGCCTACTCCTACCTTGATTTCTGACCCATGACGTAGATACATTTTGGAATACATAACTAATATGGGCACACATTAGCCCTGTGATCACAGGTAAATGACCTATAATTTCAGTGCCTCCATTTCCTAGATGTGAAATAGGGATGACAGGATAGTCCTCATGGTATCTAGAGAGGATAAAATAAATTAATACATATGAGCCAGGTGGTGGTACACAGTAAGGGTTCAGTAAATGTCAGCCTGATAGTGCTCTGTACATGTTTGGGTAACATGATACATGTGTGGTTCTTCAGCGACTGTGTGTCTAAGACCCGGCTTCTCCTGACCTAGACATCAGCACTGCTGATAATGGATAGGGGAGAAAGGGCTAGTGGTCCACATCAGCTGTGTCTGTTTGTACGAGTTCTCATACTCCCTCTGCCACCCTAGAACCGTGCTTTTAGACATTTCTGATAATGCTTGCTCCATACAGATCCCCAGACCACACTTCAGACAGCTAAAACCTATATCTCCTAGTGAAGAGGCTGGAATCTATTTTTACAAGTACCTCCAGGTAGTTCTTATCATCAGTCAAGTCTGGGAAACACAGCCTTACAACATTTTACTTTCATCTTTCCACTGGTTCTGGGCTGGCAAGTAACTGCCCGTGGCAGGCATCACTAATTGATCACAGGATTCTCTCATACGGAACTTGGTTAAGGCTTCCAAACCCGTAATAAGCACTTGAGGCAGCCACCAGTTGTCAGCTGAAGTTACACTGGAGATGAAATGTAATTGCCATCCCTGCCCTAGTGAACATCTGCTCATGTGGTGCGGACATTTTCCTGATCTGTTGATGATGAATCTTTAAGAAATCCAAGCATAAAGACTCTGGGAAAACTTAAATCTATCTGGGACCTTCAAGCCACAGCAGCTGATACCTCCACAGGCAAATGAGTACAGAGAAGCCCAAAGGTCACAGTGGTGGGCAGTTTCCTCCTATTTCCTCAGATAAAGTCCACGATAGTTGTCAGGTGAGATTGATATATGGCCGACATGAATGTGTTTGCTTGCATCATGAGACAAGCCTACAAAAGAAAAGAGTGGGAGAAGACTTAGAAGGCTTTAAAATGTAAGATTTTGAATTGAATCGAGGTGCCTGTGATAGTAGCAGATCAATACAACTTCCTTTATTTCTGAGAATCACAGTGCCATGGTTAGAATATCCTCTCCAAAAGACACGTTGAAACTTAACTTCCAAATTTATATGCTGATGGCATTTGGAAGTAGGGCCTTTGAGAGGTAATCAGGTAATCAGAAAGAGATAAGGTCATTGGTACGGAGTTCTCATGATGGGACTAATGCTTTTATAAGACAAAAGACCTCAGATGATACACATGTGCTCTGTCCCACTGTGTGACATCCCCCACCGTGTTATGATGCAGCCAGAAGGACCTCAGCACATACTGAGTGGATGTTGGCAAACATGATCTTGGGCTTCCCAGCCTCCAAAACCATGAACCCAAGAAGCTTCGATTCTTTATACATTACCTAGTCGCAAATATTTTGTCATGGCAACAAAAAGTAGACGAAAATAAGTGATGCTTCTGTTGTATGTCTATTACCCTAAGTTGTTACAGTGTCACTAGTGCTGAAGGAAGGGTGCAGACCAGGACCAGATAAGAGAGTAACAGCTCCCAGGAAGACATTGGGATTAGCGAGGGAAACAAACCAGCAGGAAACCATGTTGCAGAGTGGAGGGTCCCACGGAGAGCCACTAGGAAACATGGGGACAGACAGTAGGGAGAGGCTACCTCTGCCCTGGGACAGAGAGCAAAGGGAATAAAGAAGGCAAAGAAATGAGTAAGAGTTAAGTAAATAAGAGTTGAGGACTGAGAAAATGGATTCTAAGCAAATATCTACACAGAAACTACTCGCTTCTGGGGTCAATCAGGAACAGCAGCATGGCTGGAGTCCATGCACACAAGTGCAGTTTGTGGAGAGAGAGAAAAGTATAGCTGGCCACGGGGCTGGAGAGGGCAGGAATTGACCAATGCAAGATCAGAGACCTTAGCATACCAGCATAAGCCTGCACACACAAAGTTTCCACTGAGCGTTAAGGGTTGCCATCTTAAATATAAAGGGCAATCACAGTCCACCAGACCTGTTTGAGGAGCCACTCTATTGTTAAAAGAAAGCCTAAAATAAACAGGAAATACAATCAGAGAAAATAAAAAGCAATGCAGAAAGACGAAAATAATCCTATATGTAATATCTCCAGAAAGACTGTGGACATATTGCATCCTTAAACAAGAACATGTAATTATTAAAGAAGAAATATTAAAGAATGCTCTTAAAAATATTATAACAGCAATATGCAACTCAATAAAATGGCTATAAAAATAAGAAAGTCTCCATAGAAAAGCATACAACTTCAAAGCAATGGAAAAAGAAAATATAGACAGATTATAACACCCATGAGAAAAGCCAATATTTGGGTAGCAGAAGTACCAGAAAAAGCATAACCAAGAAAGAAAGTTTTTGAAGCAATGAATCCAGACTTGAATTCCTAGATTGAAAGAGCCACCAAGTACAAGAACAATAGGTAGAAACAGCCACCTGCTTACTGAGGCTCTGAGAATCAGGCTTCTTGACCTGTACACTACAAGGTAAAAACAATGGGAAACACGGTCAAAATCCTCGAGTGCGGGGAGGGAAGGCTTTTCATCCTACAATTTTATATTCAGCCAAATTGTTAATCAAGTGTGAGGAAACAATAGAAAATTATCTCACACATACAAAATCTCAAAAATATTGCCTCTCCTGAGTTCTTACTCAGAAAGCTACTCAAGAATGTTCCCACCATGGTGAGAGAGAAAACCAAGAAAGAGAATGGCCCAAGATCCAGGAAACAAGAAATTTAATTCAGGAGCAGTCCAACGGAATTTCCAATTTGACGATGAAGGAAGGTCCTGGATGACAGGTGAGTGGCAGGCCAGGTTAAAGCAGGAGAACCAAGAAGAAAATTAAACCAGTACATAATTCAATATGTGTCAACATATTTAAAAGAAAATTGTACTTCTGCCGGAGAGCTCTAGGATGAAATGGTGATAGGGACATAGAAAACCAAGTAAATGACAAATCATGGTAATTATAACTCCACACAATTGTACAATAAAGGAAATACAGTCATGGTATACTGTGTAACTTAATCTGACAATAACATAATCATAGTCGCGTAAAAATGAAATACCAATACAGTCCCCCCAAATGGTGTTATACTCATATTGGGAGGATGGAGAGAATGCGTTGGTGGGGGATACAAGAACTAAATTCTCATCTTACAAAGAATGGCTTTAATAAATAAGCAACTTAAAAAACAGTAGACTAGGCATGATATCTAGAAATGTAGAGTAAATAATGAGAAGAAATGGCTGAAAGAGTTGGACGTGGTTGCTTGAGGGAAGGAGGAATTAGAAGGGAAGAATGCTGTCTTCCCTTCAAAGCCATATATAAATATCTGTTTTTTAATTAAGTACATGAAATGTAAATATGAACTACATACTAGATGATAGCATTTAATTAATATTACATTTCTACCTATAATAAGTGCATTATATATATGGCCTTCAATCCTTAGGGGGTACACTATAGAGCACTGAGGAGTAAAGTATCAGAATATTTGTTATATACTTTTGAGTCATCCATCCCAAAGAGAGGATACATAGAAAAACAGAAAAGACAGATGAAAACTAAAACAAATGCAGTAAAATATTAATTGATGGATCAAAGAAGGTATATAAATGTTCATAGTACCTGTCTTTCAACTTGTCTGCCATTTATTAAATTTTTCAAAATAAAATATTTGAGGCACATCTGCCATTCTGATAAAGTTGAAATTTAAAGCAGTTGGCCCAATGTCTGGCACCTACAGACATTTAAAAATGTCAGCTATCAGTATTGTTTTTATCATCATCATCGTCTTTTCTCACCAGGTGAGAAATAGACACGATCTTGATAGATCACAGGTGTCATACCTGGATAGTGACAGGAAAAAAATATCAACCAATGACTAATTATCTCCACCATTCTACCTATGCAGGGCCTGGCGTGAAGCCCTAGAAACACAAGAAAAAGTCTCTCCCTCTTACATAGCACCGGTGGGCCACAACTTGGGGAGAGCTCTGGTCTTGGGTTTGGAATGGTCTAAAAAATGGCCAGTGGCCTGGTTACAGAGGTAGAAAGGAAGCTGGGTTACAAATCTTGATGGGAAAGGCACTGAGGGTGCCTCTCAGGAATCCAACTTGCTGGGTCTCATGGCACGTCACACCACACCTGCTTAAGAATCTACACTGACCTCTCACCACAAGTCATCCCAAGGCCTGGAACTGATTATCTGTAACTATTCGTCTCTAAGCGTGTTACCTTTACGCGGGGCCCAACTGCATGTTACTGTTTACCGTCCACCTGTGAAGAGTTGGTGATTCTCCCCAGGGTTTATTTTAAACAACTTAATAAGCCATCTCCTAACAAGATCAACAGAACCGCAGATCTAGAAGGTTCAATATGCACCACTCCCCTCCCCAACCCTGGCAAGAAATCTGGCCTAGAATGATCTCAGAGGGACCCATTTTAACACGGCTCTGCTGTAAAGTGCCGCATCACCTCTATTTGGTGTTTTCTGTTGCTAGGTTGAGCACCTATCCTGAGTGTGGGTAAGGGTGTGTGTGTGTGTGTGTGTGTGTGTACAGATATTCTTAAATATATATAGTCAATTTTCAATATTCACAGAGTCCGTGTTTGTGAATTCATCGGCTTGCTATAATTTATTTGTGACTCCAAAATCAATATTCACAGTGCCTTCACAGTCATTCTTGGCTGTACACCGAGCAATACAAAATGCCAGTCACCAGCATGCACATGTTCCCAGCTGACGTCAAACAGGAGACCCTCTGCCTTCATGTTTCAGCTAGCCTGGCGTAAACAAGTTTCCTCTTCCTGGCCTAGCTAGCGTCAGATTTTTTGCATTCTTGTGCTTTTTGTTGATTTTGCTATTGAAAATGGCCTCGATGCAGGTGCTGTCTGGTGTTTCTACATGCAGGAAGACTGAGGTGCCTTACGGAAACAACATGTGTGTTAAATAAGCTTCATTTAGGCATGAGTTATAGTGCTTTGGGCTGTGAGTCTGATATTAATCAAACAAATAGATTAAATGAAATGCCTTTAAAGAGAAACCCACAATATAAAGTTACAGATAACTTGACAGAAATGTGGCTGTAGGCTCACAAGATCCTAACTCTTCTTTCCCTGGAAGTAATGGTTCATTATTCACTAAGTCAGTGTTGGCCTTAAATTTGTAAAGCATATCTTCCACGTGCAGCAAGAACTGACTATGTAGTAGTCCCACCACCATGATCTGTGGTTTTGCTTTCTGCGGTTTCAGTAAGCAAAGGTCAAAGTCTGAAGATACAGGACAGAGCAATGAGATATTCTGAAACAAAGAGAGTCCACATTCATTTAACTTTTAATACCGTATATTGTCACAATTTTTCTATTTTATTTGTTGTTGTTAATCTCTTATTGTACCTTACTTATAAATTAAACCATACCATATACGTATGTGAAAAACATGTATATATATGTGGTTGGGTGCTACACATGGCTTCAGACAACCATGAAATGTCATGGAATTTATCACCCTCAGATAAGGGTGTGTGCATGTGCATGTGTGTGTGTGCACGTGTGTGTGTGCGTGTGTGTGCGTGTATTCATGTGTGTGTGTATGTAATTGCATATATCTTTCCAATTCTTTTGGAAAGTTAGTATGAATTGGTCCCACCTCTGTTTCTTTATATTTTTTTGAAGTAACCACCATCAAATGTACTTCCCCCAAGGTGGCAGTAAAAATCTAGGACTGGGCTAAAAAGAGGGAAGAATGGTAGAGTCTAAGTGCCTAAATAATGGAGCTGGCTGATTACATAAGCCAAGGAGTCTCCTCCCTTTGCAGGACCATTCAGACCTGCTCGGCTTGTACACCCACCTCAGCCTCTGGCTCAGGGCAACTGCTGCCCCTATTAGGTCCTTCACTGCTGCTCCTGAATGGAGCCAACTCTGCAGCTGGACTCCTGCAGGTGAAGGTGAAAACTGCTGCTCCAGGGAAGAGAAGGATGAAGGTAAGACCCTTCCCAACCCTGGCTGGCCTCAGCCACAGAGTCCACATGTGTAGAATCTGACCAAGATAAAAATAACTCCCATTACTTTATCTTGACCTTGGTCTCCTGTTTCAAGTGATATTATTCACACAATGCCTGGCACATCATAGTCGTTTAACAAATATTTGTCAAATAAATTAACATCTTAAAATACATAGTCATCCTTTCCCTTGGAAATCAGATTCTGCAAGACCTGGCCCTTTCCTGATGATGGTTTACTATTCTTAAGGATGTTTTCTTTTCTTCCTGTAAGGAAATCACATCTGCTCTTCTGTAGCCAATGTCACTGGGCAAAGTCGATTTGATTCAGTGACCTTGATTTACTGAAATTGCTTGTGCCATAAACAGAAGCACATGCAGTAAGTGAGCAGCGCAGATGGGTTCTGATCGCCACTTGGCCCATTAGGGCACCCTTATTTTCACAGCTGGTACCTGTGCCCACACAGCTGGCTGGCCCTCAGGCCTACATAGTTAGGGGCATCCCAATCCACACAGCTAAATCCAGTTTACACCTCTGGCTGACAATGCAGCCCACACAGTTGGTTCCGAGGTCCTACACCTGGCTGGCACCTTGAAGCACACAGGTGACCTTCACGTCCATACAACTGACTGTCACTCTAATCCTTATGGCTGGCACCCCAGTCCGCACAGCTAGAACCTAGTTTACACAGCTGGCTGGCAAGTCAGTCCACACAGCTGAAACTTCTCCCCACATCTGGCTGGTACCCAACAGCACATAGCTGGCACACACATCCATACAACTGACTGGCGCTCTAGCCTACACAGATGTGACCCAGTCTATACAACCAGCTGGAATTCAGGTCCTCACAGCTGGCAGCCACTGCACACAGCTGGCACCCCAAAATGGGTGCTGTTCCAGCTGGGAAGCTTCTCATCATTCCCTGATCTGTATAATGTAGGCTGTGCTGGCCCCCCCAACATAACTCAAGTGACTATCCTGGTCTCTAAACCAAAAAAGCTTAAGTACCCAGAGGAAAGCAGGCATCAAGGAGAGCTTCCTGGGCAAGGGAGTTTCAGATTCTCCCACAAGGAACTTCTCCCTTTGAAGCTCCTCAGACAAGAAAAGACCAACACGGATCTCAGAAGGTGTGAGCACACTTCTACAGAGACCTTTTGGGACAATATTGAGCTGCACTGGAAAAGAGACGGATCCCTTTAAGGTGGCAGTACTGACCCCAAGCATAGCAAAGTCAAAAGTATGGCCCAAGCCTCTATCAAGAGGAGGAGACCCACGAAGCTCAGCTGTGCAGAGACTCCACACTGCCCCCAGCCCTGCAGGTAAGACCAGGCAGAGAGGATCGTGGAGGCAGAACACAGATGGAGAGGAGCCACATGGTAGTCAAGAAAGCTGGACCAGAAAGACCAAAATGCACACCCAGTAGAATGTCAGGAACAGAATTCTGCTGGGCTGGAACATACTTTGAAAGACAGGCAAGCATTCATACTTGAGTGCCCATGACATTTAAACTCCTCTAATGATTTTTTAAAGAAATACTTGAATGTGGCACCTGTTAAAATACCTGAGCAGAGACCCAGGAAGTACATCCATACCTCAGACCAGGAGTGGTCCTGAAAGAGCAGCCAGAGTGGGGCAGCTCACTTGAGCACATGGTTCCCAGTCACTTGTGGCACAATGGCACTACCAGTCATTACCTGTGTTCCCTGGGTATGCATCACACTTGGTTTGTTCATCTTGAAAATGAGGGTGATGCTGATCTTTTGAACTCCTCCTCCCGCTACCTCAGTCTGAGGTGTTACAACTGGATTCTCTGGCAGGGGCATCTGAAGGTAAGAGAAGAGGCCACATAAGGTAATCACAGGTGTTTTCCATGTGACCTTCAACTCCCACTCTAGCCTTCTCTGCCCACCTTGTAGGAGGCTGGTTCCTACCTTTGGATTCATCTCCTGGCCTCTCGGATCTGGCTGTAGTCAGCTTTGGCCAGCACAAGGCACCAGCAGGGCATGGAAAAGTGGGACTGATTCTTTCCCAGGTCCCCCACTTCTAAGCTACATCCGCAGTGCCTAAGTTCCTTGACCCAAGCCACAGCTCCTCCCATCACTGCAATCCTAACCAATGTACACCCCTTCTGGGCTACAGAGGGAGAGGGTTTTCCATGAAGCCAGCCTCAGGGTGCTCTGCTGTTCCTTGTTTTCCAAAATGCACTGTTTAAACCATCTCTTCCACAGACTTTCCTGGATCATCCATTCTTAAGTGGCCATCTTGGTCCTGCTAGACCCTTGATAACAAAAGGAGTCAAACTGGAAAGTCTCCTAGCCTTCATGACTTGAGGTTACAATTTAGGCACAGCTGTGATGCCCTTGGAGAGAGAGTTGAAAGGACAGAGTGGCCGCCTGATGACTCTAAGGCTCACAAAGCCTGATCATGCACCCTGCACTTGGAGTCCTCAAGTTCCTTTACAACAAACCCCTGTGATCGAGCTAACATGAGTGTGTTTCTACTTCTTGCACTCACTGGCCTCTGATGGAAACAATGGCCTCTCTTCAACTCCCTTGGGAAGACAGCTGACTACCATTTCTTACAAGGAACTCCTACTGTTGGGAAAGTCTGTCACCCTTAGCTAGTAAGTGCCGAGCAGGTGGGTTCAGAATCTGGTCTTTCACGACATTGTTCTCTGTACCCAGCCTACACTAAGAGCAGAGCAGGCACCAATACATCGCATTGAATGAGTCAAAGAAAACAATCTCCAAGCAAATGCATTTGTGGGTTTCACAGGCACAAGATCATCAAAGAAACTATGCTCAGTTGAGATGGATGCTGCACATTTTGCTAATTAGCCAAGAGCACCCCAGTGTCCACTTCTCTCCTCCACCCAGAATGCCTTTGATTTATCAGTGCTCTAAGAAGCTGCCTGCCCATGGCTGAACAGGAATTTCTTCCCAGACACAGAAAGTATGAAGGGAGAAGGAACCTGCCTCTGGGTACCCAAGACCTGAGCATTTGCTTACTGCTTTTCAAAGGTGAAGAGCAACAAAACAGTTGGCCGTGGCTTGGCCAAGGAGGCTCCTCTCAGAGCCCAAGTGCTCACCAGACACTTTCCTGTCTGTGTCTCTTGACTGGTGGTAGGTGGATACAGCCGCCACTAGCCTCAGGAAGCTGGGATAGAATTGCCCTGGCTGAGAATGGACCATCTCCCAGAAGGCTATTAATGCTCTGTCTGTCAGGAGGATGTTACATTCATTATAATAAGTTATATTATATTATGCCCATTCTATAGATGGAGAAACTGAGCTCCACAAGGGTTAAGCCACTGGTCAATAGCCAGAAAGAGATGAAGTAAGGATGTGAGTCATGGCTGAATCAGAGGCTTATGATCTCTCAAGAGCCACAGGTGTTCAGCGGAGCATGAAGGGAGAGCAGGTGGAAGCAGAGGTCAAAGCTGCCTGGAGAAAAAGAGAGGTGCTGAGGAAGTCATGGGCCAAGGCACCAAGGGTATGCAAGGGTTCTCCCTGCCATCAGAGAAAGGGCATTGCAGCCAGGGCACAAGAGAACAGCAGCTCAGAGATGCCGGGCGCTGCTGAGTCACAGAACTGCAGTCACTCGGTAAATGCCGGCCCATGCAATCGCAGCACCCACACTGACCAAGCTGCCTGTGGTCATTCAACAAACATTCAGCAGGTGCCTCTGAAGTGCTAGACTCTGTTCTAAGAACTGTGAATACAGCCTCCAGCAAGATGGAGAGAATTCCGTCCTGCATGAGCTCACATGCTACTGAGGAAGACACAATAGAAAATACTCAGTTTTCTGTGTTTTAGGTAATACATGCTATGCAGGAAAGTAAAGAAGAAAGGGCAAATGAATGAATGAATGAATGAATGAGGGCTGGGGATTTAGCTCAGTGGTGCCTCCACCTGCCTCGCAAGCACAAGGACCGGTAACCAAAAATTAAATAAATAACCTAAAATAAAATAAACAGAAAGGTCTGGACACTAAGATGATTAGGAAAGATTTCCTAAGAAGGACATTTAAGAGACTTGAAGAGGTGAAAGAGTAAACCAGTTACACATTTCTGAGAAGAGAAGATCATTCCAGGTAGAAAGGACCGGATGGTACAAAGACCCCCAAGAAAATCAATGAGGGTGTCACCCCAGAAAGTGGGAATTCCTCTTGCTCCAGGTAAGCCCAAGAAAGCGGAGCCCGGGATCCTCAAAGAAGGACTGAAGATGATGTCCCTCGGACCCCACCTGAGCTCCACTCCGAAACCACCCTGTCATCCCGCGCACCTCGCCCCTGCATCCCTCCACGCACCTATCCATGGGGCTGCAGCTTCTGAGCGCTGCCACGCCCACTCCTGGATGTAGTGGCCGCGGCCCCCACCAGCCTTTGGGTGGGGCCAAACTCTGGCTTCTAGAGTTGCCCCAAAAGAAGGAGTAAGAAAGAGGGGAGGGTGTCCCGTCGAAGGTAGGAGGTGCCCCAGGCCGCTCCCTCGCACCGCGGCAAGCTCCAGTAGAGGCTGAGGCAGAGAGAGGCAGAACAATGGACCTGAGAGTGACAGGGGCAGGGGAGAAGGGTAGGGGCGGGGACAGAGAGGCGAGGAGACCCTGAGACTGAGAGAGGCGCAGAGAAATAGCCTCGGAGAGAGGGAGAGATGCGGGGAGAAACAAGAGAAGGACAGACAAGCTGTCAAACGAAGCGGTGAGAAGGGAACACAGGACGGGCACAAAGACGCAGGCAGAGCTTCTGGGCTGCAGCAGGCGGGAAGCCCAGCACCGTCTCTGCCATCAGGTATGGGAATCTGCTTTGCAGAGGCCACAGAAGACACAGGGCTGGGGTAATCCCCACCCTCAAGGCTCCCAGCGGGGCCTCTTGGAGGAGAGTCCTCCCACAGCCCAAGCCGATCCCCTCACCCCATCACCTGCTAAACAACTTTGCCCCAGCCCACCCCCAGCAAGTAGGCAAGGGCTGCAATAACGATGTGTGGTCTGCAGAAATTCCTCACGGAGTAAGAAAACGGACTGAAAGTCAATGTCTTCATCCTCACCCAGGACTGATGGTTCTCTACACTGTCAGTGATAAAATACTCTGCACCCCCAATTTTTATGTTGGCAAAATGCTCACGATCGTTATGGTCACTATTGCACTTCCAAATATATATTTAATACACATGTACACACCATCTACATTCACAGCGGCTCTTCCCAGTGCGTATCCCCTAAGGAACACAGACTTCCCCGTGCAGGTCAGCCCACAGAGCTCTGGGAGGGACACAGTCGGCCCCACACATGGGGTTTCGGAACACATTCATTCCTTGAACACCCTGACACTCAGGATCCTTCCAGCTCACTGCAGGAGTAGTTTCGGTCTGCAACCCCCTTGATACTACAAATTCCCATGTTTAAGGCCATGTTCCTAAGTAAACAATGATAGCGCACAGTGACAGTAAAACAAGCTGAACTTAAATGGCTTCAATTCTGTCATTCTGAGGGGCCACATGGTATTTTTTGTGTATGTATTTTCAAAACAGTGAAACAACTCGAATGGCAAGGTACTGTCTTTTGTTTAAAACACAAAGCTCAGCTCACCCATGAGCTATTTTACTAGATTAGAATAATATTTTTAATACGAAAAGTAAATCTCTTTAAAATGTTGCCTGTTTTGAAGCAGCAAAGCGAATCAAGAACACATACATTGTAATGTCATTATTTGTTATCACAACAAACCAATGCATATACTTTGATTCAAAATACACATTGTTATGATTACAAAATAATCTCTTCCATGAAATTTTTTTCTATATTTTATTGATTTACTTTTACTTATTTCACCGGCATGATAATATACACAGAGCACCATAAAAGAAAAATTTTACTGTTTCTTTTCTGATTATCAGTACTATTATTGTACTCATTCCATGACTCGTACTAAAAATAATTTGGTTGGATAAAAAAGGAACTGTTTAAAAACTGATCCACTCTAGATGTCAGAATGTACCATTGTCCTTTCCCAAAATTCCCCACTGACGTGGGCAGACCTCGTGCACACCCCACTTCCGTTCCTCCGCAACAAACTCTGGCATCTTCCCCTACTTCCTTTACCCCTGAAGTCGAGGTTCTCCCCAGCGTCCAAGCCTCACCTGGGACCACGGTCCTCTAGGCCTCATTCTCTTAGCTTCATGGGCTCCAGGGTAGAAGTGGGCAGCATGGAAGGAGTCCTCTGCTCTTTCCTGTTGGTCGCCATCTCACAGAAGAACACCTGCCTGGGGGCTCAGCCACTCTGTTCCCACGTCCCTGCTGCCACATATGACCTCCAAGTCACACTCCATCTCCCGGACGGAGGATTCTGCTCCGCCCTGGCCTGGGATCCTGCCTCATTTCAGGCCAACTTCACTGTCCATGTGGACTAAATAAACCTCATGTCTTTCCAGCAAGTTGACATCCTCCGGCCCGCTGAAGGTCTGCACTCAGCATAGTGCATCTCAGATGACACCATTCACCTGAATGCTCGGGACACAACCACATTCACAGCCACACCTAACCTGAAGCGCATCCTGGCAGTTCTGCCCTCAAAAGCATCCCAAAGCCACCTGTCCATTCCATCTCTACTCCACCCCCTGCCTGCTCATCATGATCACCAGCTAGCACGGGCTCTAGCCACCGTAGATGGAAACCAAACTTGGACTAGTTTTCGAGTGAGACTGAAATGAATGTTCAGTATAGGAAAGAAACAGATGTGTGGCGTGATTGAAAGATGTGGCGAGCATTCAGACCTTTTAAAATTTATCACAATAAAGCCACACTGCCAATAATCCCCCTCATAATACGCC